CTTGGGTATACTGATTACTTAAAAAATAAATAAATAAAAAATAAGTAAATAAAGGGGCAATTATTAAAAAAAGCCTGCCTCAGATGTCTTATATTTGCATTCAATTTGCACTAAGATCGTTTAAGTATTCTAAATCTTAAGTTATGGACCTTCTCAACCAGAGGTCATGAATACTTACACATTTATTATTGGGTTAGTATAAACTAAAAGAAGAAAAAAGGCTCTATTAGGGCTGAGGCTACACTATGGTCTCATAGGAGTTCTAAACAATGTTTTTGGTAACTGTCATTTTCCAAACATCAAAATGTGTAGAAAGTAAAGGTCTTCAAAATAGAGGCTGTCAGTAACTGTGGTAAATTTTGAAAGTCATCTCATCTCAGATCTCTGTGCAGATGTACCAAGTAACAATCATGGAAAGCCAGTTTATTTATTTATTTTTTAAAATTATTTATTTGTCAGAGAGAGAGAGAGAGAGAGAGAGAGCACAAGCAGGGGAAATGGCAGTCAGAGGGATATGGAGAAGCAGACTCCCCACCGAGCAAGGAACCCGATGCGGGACTCGATCCCAGGACCCCAGGATCATGACCTGAGCCGAAGGCAGATGCCTAACCGACTGAGCCACCCAGGCATCCCGGAAAGCCAGTTTAAAATCTATTTCATTTGAAACCTTTTCTATTAAATGAAAAACATTAGGAGGCATAACATCATTTTACATGTCACCAGAACTTCATAGTCAGCAGAAAAGAGAACCAAGTAGCCAAATGAGCATTTCTATAATGTTTCATAATTATTACCTTCCTTGACATCGTGTCTTAGGGCACTCAAGCAGGCAGCACTAATAGCCCCTGTCATTTCCTGTCATTAAACCCTAGGTTTTCCCCAGAAATATACAACCCACAAGGAGATTCTTCTGCCAGTTAGAAAAGATCAATTCAAAAGATGCAGAAATCAATGTTAACTCTGAATGGGCATGAAGGCCATAATAAATTGCCACCTACACATGGAATTATATTTTGTAGATTGACAGTGTGTGGGCAGAAGCAGCAGAAGCTTATGTTAAGACCTTATAGTTGGGCTTATTTTATACTGACCGGCTTATTTCATACTGACTGGCTTTTCTTTGGCTGCCAAAGAATGGATCACATTCAAAAGCTAAAGCCAAGTTGGCAATCCTTTCTTTTTGCCTTTCTCTCTAAAAATTACCCTAAATAGGAGCGCCTGAGTGGCTCAGTCTCTTGAGCACCTGACTCTTGGTTTCAGCTAGGGTCATGATCTCAGGGTCTTGATATCAAGCCCTGAGTGGGGCTCTACGCTCAGTGGGGAGTCTGCTAGAGATTCTCTCTCTCCCTCTCCCCCTTCTGCCCCTCCCTCCACCCCCCCCAGCCCCCGCATGCATACGCACACACTCTCTCAAATAAATAAATCTTTTTTAAAAAATTAAAAAATAAAATAATTACCCTAAATAAGTTAGGCAATATAGCCAGTTTACACACAGAGGCCTGATTCAAAACTTCAGTTCTCTAAATCATTTCGCCTCTCTTCTCATTGATACTTAAAATTCTAGGACTCCAGAGTCACATTCATAAGCACATTTATAAATACCACTGACCCCCCCCCAACATACCATATGACTAGTATATGCCTCAATGGAGACCAGAATAAAATAACACCCTACTGTGGAAATGAGGGCTTGAAATAATGCAGCTGGCACTCTCCTCTTATCCATGAATGAGGCATTTGGGATTGCTAAGAAAACATTTAGCTTTCAGAAGCATGCTGCTACCAGGAATGGAAAGGATCTCACACCTCCTTTTCTTTCCTAATTCTAAAGTGGTGGGCAAAATGTCTACTTTTATTGGTTTGAAGTTGTCTAACCATTGCCAAAGAATAAGCAAAGCAAATTATATACACATGCTCTCCTCCTAAAACGCTACCTCCTTTGCGAAGCTGTCTTGATTTATTTAGAATGCATAGCTTTCTTCTCCACATTCTATCTTATAATTTATACCTCCAGTGATATTTGCATTAATATTTTCTATATGAGTAATGTGTTTACACGTATCCTCTTACTAAACTGTAAACTTCCACAGCTCAGAGACCAAATTATTATCTCTCTGGTCCCCAAAATGCCAAGCAGAGTACTTTATAAATGGCAGGTCCAAAATAAATGCTTGATGAATGAATAAATACGGTGGTGTTAGCTTTATGATGACTGGAAGTTACAATTTAAGAGTTCTAATAAAAGTTGAAAGTAAATAGGGTAAAGAAAGCACCCTTCTTTTCTCTGTATTTGGTCTCATGATTGTGTACACTGAAGAGGGAAATGGATCTACAGACGTCCTCTTGAAAATACATTTTATATTCAATATGTCTATTTTTGACAACCTTCAAGTAAACTATCTTTTAGAGAAGACTTCCAAGCTTATACTGAACTTGATGAGGAAAGTTCCAATCAGTCAGACAAATGGTATCTACTTCCTGTGACGAAAGAGTGCCGTTAGATGCCTCAGGAAAAAACTGCAAAATCCTAACAGCTGAGAGCATGACGCTGCAAGAGTCAACTAAACAGGTGCTGCCTATATAAAGCGATCAAGGAGAGAAGAAGAAACCCTGAATTTAACTGAGAAGGAAAAATGGTCATTAGTTCTCAAAAAACAAGGGTTTATGAGAGACTATGACTCTGAAAAACAAACTGAGGGTTCTAGAGGGGAGAGGGGTGGGGGGATGGGTTAGCCTGGTGATGGGTATTAAGGGGGGCACGTTCTACATGGAGCACTGGGTGTTATACACAAACAATGAATTATGGAACACTATATCAAAAACTAATGATGTAATGTATGGTGATTAACATAACATAATAAAAAAACAAAAAAAAACGAGTTTAACTAGGGACTGATTTATGAGGATTGACAACTGTTTCAGGTATACAGAGTAAGAGGAAGCATATGTGTCTAAAGAGAGAAAGGCAATGAAAGTCATCTCAAATAAAATTCCCCTCACCCACTCTATTTTAATTTGTTTTGCATGTTATTTTACTATTGGATACAGGGTTTGGCCAAACCTTAACAACTAGTTATTTGGAAATTTCTACACAATGATCAATTTCTCCCACAATGTACATTTTTTCCTTCCAAAACAAACAAGATACTTTGCTCTGACAGGGACAATTTCCAGTCTCTTATTGAAAGGTACAAGAGAAGATGGGTAATTGAATATCATACAGCACTTTTGAGTTCTTTGGCCATTATCCCCTAGGGTAGATTTAATCAAAGGATGAAGAGTACAAGCTCAAAAGCTTTTAGTTGACAAGAAGCAAGTCTTTGGCTTGGGATTTTTGTGTTTGAGTTGTAAGTCAGCTTCACAGAAAAGTAATCAGAAACTAGACCGGCCAGAGATTAGAAAAGAGCCTTGAAATGAAAGGTGTGAGACCATGGGTTCTACTTGTGACTTGGTCTCTTAACAAGCGTAAGGACCGTGCACGAATTACTTAAAATTCTCATCTGCAAAGTAAGGGACTAGACTAATAATTTCTAAAGCCCCCTGTGGCACTATCAATTTTTCATTGTCTAATATTATTCCTTAAGTCATAGACTGGTTCATTCAACTACACGAATACCTTCAATGAACATAATAAAGGACAGTTTCTGCCCTCAAGGAGTGGATAAATCAGTGGGAAAAGTGAAGACTTTACCCATAGCTTCTAGGTGCTCATTCATCTAGTTCTGAAGTTCTAAACAAAGGTCACAAGGAGTAGGAGAAACTCCACAGAAGCTCTTAGGAGGAAGAGAGGAATTTATTGTTTCAGTCCACCAATGTTTACTGAGTGATCCCTGTGTACCAGGCACTGTGCTGGGCACTGAGGATCCTGGAGTGACCCAGACAGATCAGGCCTCTAATAAAGCTTACTTGCATTCTCGGTGGTGAAGAAAAACAGATTAACAAATAAATGAAATCCAGATTGTTATAAGTTTTAGGAAGGAAAACAATAGTAATGAGAGACAATAACTGTAACAATAGTAATGAGAGACAGTAACTGTGTTTGTGTGCAGGGTGGGGTGGGATGAACTTTCATTAGCATAGAGTTGAGGAGACAGCGAAGCTGAGACTTGAGGACAGATGAGAATGAGGCCAGCCAGCATGGAGGGACCCTCCAGAGGGAAGTGGGTAAATACTGATGCCGAAAGGGCTGGAGCAGAGAGACCATCTGCCAGGCTGGACCTTAAAGAGCAATTACTTCGGAAAGTTTAGGATTAAAGCAGTCATTCTCAACCAAGGACGATTTTGCCCCTCAGGGGACACCTGACTACATGTGGAGACATTTTGGGTTGTCACAATTTGGCAAGGAGAGTACCACTACGGAGACTGAGAAAACCTGCACTAAAGAACTATCACAGCCGAAATTATGGTTTTCGTCATTATGTTATTAACTCATATTTTTACCAACTTGGATCTTTCTTCCTTTACAGCAGAAACAAAAACAGGTTTCAAGTGGCCCCATGCTTCATCCACTCTCTAAGAAATCCTATCGCAGAGGTTCAAGGGACTCCGCGAACCTCAAAAGCTCCACGAGGTAGTGAATTTGTCCCTGAACGCGCGGGAAAGGATCGGAGGAAACCCACCACCCAACTGCTCACGGGGGTCACCCCTACGGAAGGGACTGCGACTAGGGGCAGTGGAAGAGGAGAACAAACTCAGGTTTCAACTGCGTAATTACAAACCGATGTTCAAAATAATGCAAAGTGGGGTCCATGCTAGGGAAGAAGGGGAGATGCCTCAAGGATTAAAACCTGTCTCTGGATCTCTAGCTCCCGCTGCAGGCTTCCGCACTGACACCCGTCCCCCAAAGCTCTAGATGCTTCTCCCCATGCCGCCCTGCGCTGGACTCAGACCTCTCTGCCCCACCCCTTCGCCCCGGTCCCGGTCCCAGGCTCTCCCCTGGCCCCGCCCGCGTTGACCCCAGGCCCCTCCAGGCCCGCGAGGACCTCCCGCCGCCGCCTCACCTGGGCCTTCAGGCGTCTCCTCAGCAAGCCCCGCGGCAGGCTGTCCTCGACGTACGGGTTGCCCGGGCGGAGCGGAAGGCCCCGTCGGGGTCTGTGGGCGGCGCCGCGAGCCCGGCGCGCGTCCCGCAGGCCGGGGAGCGCGGGGCCAACCCTTGGGAGGGCGAGAAAGGCGGCAGTAGAAACGCTGCGCGGGCGACCCGAAGGCATGTGGCCTGGGAACCAGGGCGAAAGAGGCGGGGCGCAGAGGACGCCGACGCTGAGGGGGCCGGGCCCCTCAGGGGTCCGTTAGCGGCCGCTCGCCCCTTTTTGCATATTCATGAAGCCGAACGGGGCGGACCGCCCAGGCAGGCCGTGGAGAGGTCGTGAATTATTCATGAGGAGGCGTCTCGTCCCGCCCAAAAAGGCCTGTTGACTATTCATGAGCCTGAGAGGGTTTGAGCTGGAAAAGGCCGTTGGGTACCCACCCTTCCGGGAGAGGCGTCGACGAGCTGAGGTGAGGGCTGTCCAGACGCAAGGTCTCCGGAGAAGGAGGGCGCTTGAGCATCGTCAATTTCCTAAGCTTAGGTTAATTTTTTTTCTTTCCTTTTCCTTGAGGCTTTAAGTTTGATCTGAAAGTATTTCACTGAGGTACTCTGAGGAGAAAGGGGAAGGCGGGGGCTGAGGAAAAAGACAAAGGGAAGCTTCTAGATTGCACCCCACCCCCTCCCTCTACTCCCGCCTTCAGCGTTCGATTTTGAAAATTTTCACATATAACAGGAAAAAAAGAAAAAAAAGAAAAAAGGTGGAGAGAATTGTAGTGGGAACACCCGCATTCCCGCTATCAAAGGTAGCTCTTGAATTCAGATTTCTGTGGGAAAGAAGGAATGAGTCTTGGTGAGGAAGCAACAGCGGTAATTAGCGGCCAAGCAGAGGGTCAGGCCAACGACTTCTGTGTATTGCTGGGGGTCGGAAGTGGAGCTTTGGGGGTGATCTTGGCTAGGTCAGGTTTTCTCCAGTCATGGAGGTGTTTTGCCAGAATCAATGCCTGGCGCAGACCAAGCGGTGACAAGAGCTGGGGATGGGTCCCCACGGAATGACCTCAGCTCCTTTGCTACCTTTTCCAGGACGTGCCGTTTAATCTCCATGGACTTTAGTTCCCCAAACAGTACAGGGGGAGAAAGTGCCTTGGAAATGCAAGATTAGCCAATCACCGACATGTGTTCAGGTGTGCAGAGCATGGGACGGGGGTGTGCAGTACACCGTGCACTTGGTTGGCGAAAACGAAGATAACGCACGGTTCTTGCCCCTAAAGGAGTTTTTGATTTAATTAGGCTGAGTCCAATTTCTCCCCCATTGGATTGTCAGTCTGTTGAGATGTGAGCAGTATTTTACATCTTTGCAATCCTACATGATGCCTGGCACATTGTGGTCACCTAGTCAATGTTGAATGAATAAATAATTGAAGTAGCCCGAAGAAGATATTAAAAAAACCAAAAGAGCATGAACAAATATCCAGTTAATATAGTGGAAACCATTTACTCTGAGTGAGCGTGGAGAAAGGGAATTATCAGAGCCAAATGGGATTTGTTAAAATGGTGAATAATAACTTAAGGAAGCAAACTCTGTGAAGCCTCTGAGTAACGGGGTGACCTTTGACAAACCAAGTTCTTTTGTTGGACTTCACTTTCCTCTTCTTTATAGTTTTATATTTTACATTTAAATCCATGACTCATTTTGAATTAATATTTGTGTACAGTGTGAGATTTAGGTTGAGAGTTTTTGTTTTTTGTTTTTGGGTGTTTTGTTTTGTTTTGGCCTACGGATGTCCTATCGTTCCAGTACCATTTGTTAAAAAGACAATCCTTCCTCCACTAAATTGACTTTCCTTTTCTTTACAATGAAGGGATTGGATTATCTGTTTCTCCTTTCCCTTCCAATTCTATGATGCTAAGCCCATTTATGTCAAAATGTACTTTCTTTGTGTAAAGCCATCGTTTATATCAGGCAAGAAAGGTCATCTAGTTGCATTTTAGAATACAGCTATTAGATATTGCTCATTTGATAGAAAGGGGATTTTCTTGTTAAAAAAAAAATGGTTTTGGAAGATTGGGAAAGATGGGTGGGGAGCATTAGGAAATCAACTATTATTGTCTTTGTGCAAACATAATAAAACTGGTTTTTGCTTCACTCAGAATGGCCAAAGGCAGGAGCGGGGAGTGGCTTAGGCTTTAATATGCTGAACAATAGCTGGTTAATCTTTATCTGAATCTTGGATTCACACATACAAGGGTAAAATAGTAAGCAATTGTGTCACCATTTTAAATAGGGCAGTTAGATGTAGGTCAAGAGGTAAGCCTAGCATGAGTCTTTATCTGAGAAAGCACAGATATCTTTTTTTTTTAATTGTTATTTATTTGACAGAGACATAGTGAGAGAGGGAACACAAGAAGGGGGAGTGGGAGAGGGAGAAGCAGGCTTCCTGCAGAGCAGGGAGCCTGATGTGGGGCTCGATACCAGGACCCTGGGACCATGACCTGAGCTGAAGGCAGACGCTTAACGACTGAGCCACCCAGGTGCCCCGAAGCACAGATATCTTACCTCCTTCTCAAGATCATAATTCTTGTCACAGAGTGGAGATATCAAGTATAAAAGTGAATGATATTGATGCCCTGTGAAGTTTCAGATGTTTGTGGGTCAAATATGCAAGCAAATGTATAAGTGAAAGACATTTGAAAGTTAGAGTTCTGTTCTTAAAATCCGTAATTATGAAATCTCTCCTAGGCTTTTAGATAACGAGTTAGAAAAAAGTGATAAAAAAACATCAGAGTTATTCTCTGATAATCTGTAGTGTCATACCTCCTGGGGCTGTCAGTTTGTGAGCTTTCAAAATTAAGCAGAGTTTGTACTTGAATAGGAGACTTCCACAAAACACCTGCTCAAAGAGAAAACAACAGTAGCAACAGAATAATTAAAGGTTGAAAAGAGTCTGGCTACTTAAAAAATATATATATTTAGATATGTTTTGTTTTTCTAAAGCAAGCTCATTCTAGAACAACAGAAAAAGACACTACTGTGTTTAGAAATACGCAAGCAAGCTCCACAACTAGGAAGGCACTGGTAGTGCCTCATTTTAAATGGAATGTAAGCAAAAAGGAATTTCATTTTAGGGAGTCATTATAGAAAAACCCCTAAATCATGAGTCAAAATTTCTTGAGTTTTAGTATCAATTCTGCCACTAAGTGTTTGACCCTGAGTAAGTCAGTTGACTTCTCTGGACCTTGATTTCCTCATCTAGAAAATTAGATGTTTGGACTAGATGACATTTAAAGCTCCTTCTATCTCTAATATTCGGTAATTCTTTTCTAGACACTTAATACTTCCTTGTTCTTGTATTACTTCTCTATTGATTCAGCAAATGTTTATTGAGCATCTATTTTGTTCCAATAATGTAATGGTGCTGAGGATTCAAGAATGAGCTGAATGAGACATTAAAGGTCAGATATTACATGATTCCATTTATATGAAATGTCCAGAATAGTCAAATCCATAGAGATGAAATGTAGATTAGTGGTTGCAAGGAGCAGGGGGAGGGGAGACTGGGGAGTGATTGGTAATGGCCATGGAGTTTCTTTTTGGGGTAACAAAAATCTTCTGGAATTAGTAGTGATGGTTGCAAAACTGTGAATATACTAAAACCCACTAAATTGTACCTTTTTTTTTTTTAGATTATTTATTTATTTATTTGACAGAGAGAGACGCAGCGAGAGAGGGAACACAAGCAGAGGGAGTGGGAGAGGGAGAAGCAGGCTTCCCACTGAGCAGGGAGCCCGATGCAGGGCTCAATCCCAGGACCCTGGGATCATGACCTGAGCCGAAGGCAGACGCTTAACAACTGAGCCACCCAGGTGCCCCTAAATTGTACCTTTAAAAAAAAAAAACTTTATGCTAAGTGAAATAAGCCAGACACAAAAGCTTATGTGTCTTTCTGTTCCTTAGCTTAAACTAAGGAACAGAAATAGGTTTTGGGGGAAAAGAAGTGACATTTAGATGTGTTAGGAACATCAAAGTGGAACTGTCTCATAGAGGTACAGATCTCTAACTCCCCAGAGAGACCTGGGCTTCTGACATGTAAGAATCATTAGAATAGATATAGTAATTGAAACAATGGAAATGTATTTGTTCATCCAGAGAGTGTGTTTAGAAGTAAGAAAAAAAAAAAAAAAAGGAGCTCCTAGTACAAAACCCTGAACACCAAACACTAAGAAATAGGCAGGGAAAAAAGTGTGAAGTAGACAATGAGAAGGAACAACTGGAAGGCTAGAAGAAAACTAGGAGTTCAAATACTAACATAAGATTTTTATTTTTATTTTTATTTTTGAAGATTTTATTTATTATTTGACAGAGAGAGACACAGCGAGAGAGGGAACACAAGCAGGGGGAGTGGGAGAAGGAGAAGCAGGCCTCCTGTGGAGCAGGGAGCCCGATGAGGGCCTCGATGCCAGGACCCTGGGATCATGACCTGAGCAGAAGGCAGATGCTTAACTGACTTTGCCACCCAGGCACCGCAGGGCTTGATTCTCTAGAAATGCCATCAGAATGTCTTATGATCATAGAAAAAAAAATTTTTTTTAATCACCTTCTGCTGATTCTTTTTTTAAATTATTTTTTATTTTTATTTTTTTATTTATTTGAGAGAGAGAGTGAGAGAGAGAGCACAAGAGGGGGTAGGGTCAGAGGGAGGAGCTGAGTCCCTGCCGAGTAGGAAGCCCGATGCAGGACTCGATCCCGAGGCTCTGCGATCATGACCTGAGCTGAAGGCAGTTGCTTAACCAACTGAGCCACCCAAGTGCCCGAAAATTTTTTTTAAGTTTATTTATTTAAGTAATCTCTATACCCAGTGTGGGACTTGAACTCACAATCCCAAGATCAAGAGCTGCGTGCTCCACTGACTGAGCCAGCCAGGCACCCCCATAGAGGAAAAAAAAAATGTAGTGGGGTCCCTAAATGGCTTAGTTGGTTAAGGGTCTGACTTTTTATCTCAGCTCAGGTCTTGATCTCAGGGTCTTGATCTCAGGGTTGTGAGTTCAAGCCCTGCATTGGGCTCCACAGTGGGCGTGGAGCCTACTTAAGAAAAAAAAAATCAATGTAGAAATCTATTTAAAAATTCTTCTTTTTTATTATTTATTATCTCTAAGGCTAATAACTACTCCAGTAGGGGGTTGTTTACGTGGTTTAATGGGCCGGAACTAGAGCTTAAACTCTTGTAGTTACTTATTTTGCTCATTTTATTTCTTGAAGTTTTAAGGGAGGCAATTGATGTGTTGAGTCAGATTTGAAGGTTATACACAGAAATGAAGGTTATATTCTGAAGTCAACAAAAGATACTTTGGAATCTTTAAGGACTGAAGGACTGTTAGGTGGTTTTCAGTGTCCTATAAGATATTGTAAAAGAGTGTCCCCTAGTGTTGCTCTGAAGAAGTAATTTGAGAGAAATTAAATAGTACTTGTTTATAATCTCTATCACCATCTTGTGGCAGTGTCCTCAAATAATTCTGCCTTCTTTTATTTGCAAAATCATCCAGAATCTTGCATTAATCTATACACCAAAAAAAATCACATGCTATCCTGGGTGATCCAGAATGGAATTACTTTAGATGGGTTATTTTACAAATGCTTTGGTCAGAACTCCATAAAACATTGAAAAGAAGCCCCAGTATAAATTAAATTAAGGTCTTTGAAAAGAAAAAGGGAAATTTGCTTCTATTGTTTTATGCTAGTGAAGCAATGGAAGTGAAAACTGGATGTATTTTTTTATGACTTTAAGTCCCTCTGTTTTATTTATTTGTTTTTTTAGTAAATTCTACCCCTAACGTGGGGTTTGAACCCATGACCCCAAGATCAAGAGTCACATGCTCTACCGACTGAGCCAGCCAGGTTCCCCAAAACTAGATGTATTTTTAACATTAATATTTTTACTGTGTTAAAATATGCATAAAATTCACCACCTCACCCATTCTGAAGTGTACAGTTCAGTGGTACTAAGTGCATTCATGGTGTTGTGCAACCATTACTATTATCCATTCCTAGAAAAATTTTGTGATCCTGAACAGAAACTCTGTGCTTTTTAAGCACCCAATTCCTTCCACCCTCCAGCTCTTTGTAACCTCTATTCTTTCTGTTTCTATGAAGTTGACTACTTTAGGTACCTCTACCTCATATAAGTGAAATCGTGCAATATTTGTCCTTTTGTGTCTGGCTTATTTCACTTAGCATAATGTTTTCAAGTTTCATCCATGTTGTAGCATGTATCAGAATCTCATTCCTTTTTAAGGCTTGTATATATCATTGTATATACCACATTTAAAAAACCCATTCAACTGTTGATGGACATTTGGGTTATTTCCACCTTTTAGATATTTTAAATAATACTGCTGTGAACATTGGTGTACAAGTACCTGTTTGAATCCCTGCTTTCACTTCTTTTGGGTCTATACCTAGACGTGGAATTGCTGATTAATATGGTAATTCTGTTTAACTTTTTGAGGAACTGCCATACTATTTTTTACGGCAGCTATACGATTCCCACCAGCAATGCACAAGGGTTCCAATTTCTCCATATCCTCACCAACATTATCATTTTCCATTTTTGGGGAATAGCCATCCTAATGGGTGTGAAGTGTAAATTTTAACTTTTGAGTTACCTTTAAAAACCAGTAACCTGGGGTGCCTGGGTGGCTCAGTGGTTAAGCGTCTGCCTCCGGCTCAGGTCATGATCCCAGGGTTCTGGGATTGAGCCCCCACATCGGGCTCCCTGCTCCGCGGGAAGCCTGCTTCTCCCTCTCCCACTCCCTCTGCTTGTGTTCCCTCTCTCGCTGTGTCTCTCTCTGTCAAATAAATAAATAAAATCTTTAAAAAAACCCAAAAAACAATAACCTGTAAAGTTAATTCAAGAAATGTTTTTGAGCCCCTGCTATATACAGAGCACAGTTGCACTGTAAGGGAATAACAAGGATGAATAAAATACATTGTTAAATTTTTAGGTGATTTACAATTTATTTTTCTCCTCCAGATGTATTTGGGAACAAGCAAATTAACTTAAATTCTCACTGGGTGGTTGAAAAAACTAATCCAGAGAATTTATGCCAAATTCATAGAAAATGGGTAGTGGAGATAAAAATGTTAATTAAACTAATTTTCCAAAGAATACAATCAAATGCTAATTATGTAGTTCTTCTTTGGAAAATTCACAAAAAGGATTATGTCAGGCAAAGCCTCTAATTTTTTTTTCACCCCCACAGGTTTGACCTGTGAAAAGAATTCTGATACATTACTACAATGGCCACTGCTCAGCTCTCTCACTCTATCAAAATTCACAAAGCATCTAAGGTAATTACTAAGAATTAAAAGAAAATCAATGGCTATTTAGTGAGTTACTTCAGAATCATGACTTTAATCTTTGGTGTTTTTTTAAAACAGCAGTTTTATCAGTTAATTGGCACATAATATTTTGTCAGAGTATATCTACATTTTAACTGCCTAATGGGCCAGGGATGTTCAAGAAATTAGAATATATTCCTACAGAGTAACTTACTGGGTGCTTATTTTATGTTTATATATTTAGATTTTCTAGAGTGAAAGAAATCAGAAACAAAAAAGATGTTTAAAGTGAATGGGTTTTTTTTGTTAGACATTTACTATGAAGCAATTAGGAAATTTCTGATAGGCACCGTGATGTAATTATAAGAACTGAGGAGAGAACACAGAGAGGAACTTGGAGGCTGGGCCCCTAGGGGAGCATGCCGGAGCCAAGTAATCTTTCTGGGTTCGCAAGGGCAGGTTTATCTTGCCCCAAGACATTCATTAATGAATCATATTAATTGAGAGCTTAATATTATATAATATATATTTACATATATGTGTGTGTCTGTATATATGATATGGCGTTATTCTCTGAGGAAAAAAAAATCTTCTAGAAGTTTAGAATCTGATAAGGGAAATACAATTTAGAGGAGTTAAGCCAATATACAAAGCAGTATATGTATTACATATATGTGAAAAAGAGTAAAGCAATACAAATTATAGGAATTTAGAGATTTTGTATTGACTGGAATGGTTTGTGTATTACTCATGAAGGAAATGTGACTTAAGGTGGACTTTGAATAATACAAAGGATTTGAGTAGAAGAAAGAGAAGAGAATTCTATGAGGAAAACCTACCAATGTGCCTTGGCTCAAAATGAGAAATGAACGTGGCATATTTTAGAAAATAATGAAGAACCTATCCTTTTTGGAGTTGAGAGACATCATGTTGGACAGAAGTAGGAAATAAAGTTGAATGGGAGCTTTGGGAACAAATTAATATGGATCTTAAAAGCCAAGCTAAGGAATTTATGCTTTATTCTTTAATCAGTAGACAGCAGGCTTGATCAGGAGAGTGAATAAAATGATTGTTTTAGGAATATTAAGCTGTAGCAAAAACAGGGGCAAGATTCAGGTTGAAGGAGAATTAGGGCAGAGAGAAAGCAGTCATCTTTCTGGCTCAAATTCAGTATACTCACTGGATTCCTGTTCTCATTTGGTTTCCTAAGCAGGCTTCCTTCTTTGTGGGAGGGCGGGGGTGCAGAATGCTGAGCTGGGTATATGAATTGCAATCAGTTTGGTAGTTATTTTTCTCACTGCAAATTAACAAATTGATTTTTTGATGTAAACAGATCTTTGTAGTTTGGATTATATGAACTACTTTTCCCAGGAAATTTTAAGTGACTGTATGATTTTGCTATTTAATACTTAAAACAACAATAATAACAATTATAGAAGCTAACATTTATTCAGCACTTACCATGTACTGGGCACTGTGCCAAGGGCTTTATATTATTATTTCAATTAAACCTCACATTAAGGAGGAAACTGAAGTGCAGCGAAGTAAAGTAACTTGTCTTGGGTCATGTAACTTGACAGCCAAGCTGTCAAACATCACTTATGTCATTAGGACCTATCTTGTTAAAATAATTTATAATAGTGTTTTCTATTATCAAGTCATAGTATTTTCATTTATTAGACATTAATAAAAACATCAATGATGACCCTTAAAGTATTAGATCAGTTGAGCTAAGAAAAAAAAAATCCCTGGAGTATAGGGAAATAACAGAACTCTAGAGGGCTTTTCCAACTATTGATCTTCATTACTACAAATGGCCTTTTAGATCCTGTATTAAAAATAAACGTCTTTATACTTTAGGTTATTTAATTTTACAAATGGTTATTATTCAAGTATTGCCTCTAAGTTTCAGCAAGTTTTCAGTAAGTTACTATATATGCATGCCATGCCAGCTATTACCCAATTACTCAAAAGAACCTTAATTTCTCAGGATCTGTGGGTACAAAAAACAATTTTCTGTAAGATTTTAAATGCATGTGATACACAACATGCACACCACATACACACCTAATGCTCCTTCAGCTTCAGTTTTTCCTACTTCTACTATAGCTTAATATTCCTAAAACAATTATTTTATTCACTCTCTTGATCAAATCCACTGACTTTCCATTGATTGCAGAATAAAGCATAAATTCCTTAACCTGGCTTTTCAGATCCATACTGATTTGTCTCCAAAGTTCCTTTCATACATGCAAGAGTAATAATTTTATTATATATTTTTAACAACTGAATATAATATAGTTTGATCATTCATTGCCACTATATGGTATACCAAAGAAGAACAAAGCTTATATAGCAAAATCTAGCAAAGATCTAGAATGTCTTTGGGGTATAGATATAGAAAGCTCTTTTGAGGGGTGCCTGGGTGGTTCACTTGGTTAAGCATATGACTCAGTTTCAGCTCAGGTCATGATCTCAGGGTTGTGAGATTGAGCCCTGTGTCGGGTCTGCTTGGGATTCTCTCTCTCCCTCTTCCTCTGCCCCTCCCCCCCATAAATAAATAAATAAATCTTAAAAAAAAAAAAGAAAAGCTTTTGGGGGGTTACATGACTGGCTCAGTTAGAAGAGCATGTGACTCTTGGTCTTGGGGTCATGAGTTCGAGCCCCACATTGGGTGTAAAGATTACTTAAATACATTAAAAAAAAGAAAGAAAGAAAAACTTTTGGGGAGTTCTTCTTCATCAAAAGCATATTTGTGGGTAGTACCTGCCTCTAAGTAACAGAATTATTAAAACTTCAATGGCTGAAACTGTGTAGTATAGTAAAAAGACCTCTGAATTTGATTAAGATAATCAGAGACTTAACCATCCTGACTTCTGACAGCATAGAAGTAGTAGTTTCACCTACTTTTGTATTTTCTATAAGTGAAGTCAGTAGTAGTCATTTGTATCTGGTCTCTTTAATGTATAAGAATCATCAGTACTGTTAAGATTTATGTATGAGAATCATCAGTATTGTTAAGTATAGTTATAGATCATTCATTCTCGTTTCTATATAGTGTTCCATTGTGGGAATATATTACAATTTTTTTTTTAAAGATTTTATTTATTTATTTGAGACAGAGAATGAGAGACAGAGAGCATGAGAGGGAGGAGGGTCAGAGGGAGCAGCAGACTCCCTGCCGAGCAGGGAGCCCGATGCGGGACTCGATCCCGGGACTCCAGGATCATGACCTGAGCCGAAGGCAGTCCCTTAACCAACTGAGCCACCCAGGCGCCCCTATATTACAATTTTTTATCCATTTTTTTGTTGATGGGCATTTGAGTAGTTTCCATTTTGGGTCCATTACAAATAATGCTGTTATGAATGTTCTTTTGGTGAGCATATGTATGCGTATCTGTCAGGTGTATACCTATGAGTGAAATATGGGTCATAGAATATGTATATATTTAGCTTTAGTAGATACCACTGAGGAAATTTTCCAAAGAGGTTGTACCCCCTTATTATGCTCCTATAACCAGTGTTTAAAAGTTTTGACTGATTAACATCTTTATCAACATTTGGTATTTTCTCATTTTTAAAAATTTTAGCCATTTTGTTAGGTGTGTAGTATTATTTCATTGTGTTTTTTTTTTTTTTAAACATTTTATTTATTTGTTTGACAGATACAGAAAGAGAGCACAGATAGGCAGAGCGGCAGGCAGAGGGAGAGGGAGAAGCAGGCTCTCTGCTGAGCAGCGAGCCTGACGTGGAGCTTGATCCCAGGACTCTGGGATCATGACCTGAGCCGAAGGCAGACGCCTAACCGACTGAGCCACCCAGGCACCCCTCATTGTGGTTTTAATGGGCATGTCCCTGATGAAGTTTGAGCACTATTTTTTTTAGGGTTGGGGAGGGGTAGAGAGAGGGAGAGAAAGAATCCCAAGTAGGCTCTATACCCAGCACAGAGACCGATTTGGGGCTTGATCTCACAACCCTGAGATCAGGACCTGAGCTGAAATCAAGAGTCAGACGCTTAATCAAGAGCTACACTGGTGCCCCATTTGAGTACTATTTATTGGACATTTGGATATCCTGTTTTGTGAAGTGTCTATTCAAGTCTTTTGTCTCTGTTTTTCTTTTTGGTTGTCTGTCTTTTTCTTAGTGAATTTTAGGAGTTCTTCATATATCCTGAATATGAGTCCTTTGCAGATATATGTATTGAGACTATCTTCTCCCATGCAAGTTGCCTGATTTGAACAGAAGTTCTTAAGTTTAATACAATCTAATTCATCAATATTTGGAAAATACTTTAAAATTAAAATGTATTGACACAATACCAGCTGGAGTTCATGAGACATATTTTGTGCTTGGATTAAATAAGAGAGCAAAAAGCAGTCTCAGACTAATTGTGACAAAAATTATCAAATTTTTATTTTTATTTTTATACATGTACACAGTAAATACTGAATATGACAAACATATGTTGAAATGATAACTCAAGTTGCAAAATAAACTATCAGCAAATATTCTATATTTTATTTGGTAGACAATTCTTTTTTTTAAGATTTATTTATTCATTTTATTATTATTATTTTTTAAGATTTTATTTATTTATTTCACAGAGAGAGACACAGCGAGAGAGGGAACACAAGCAGGGGGAGTGGGAGAGGGAGAAGCAGGCCTCCCGCGGAGCAGGGAGCCCGACGTGGGGCCAGAGCCCGACGCGGGCCCCGATCCCAGGACCCTGGGATCATGACCCGAGCCGAAGGCAGACGCTTAACGACTGAGCCACCCAGGCACCCCTTATTTATTCATTTTAGAGAGAGAGCAGGGTGAGGAGGGGCAGAGGGAGAAGAAGAGAGAATCCCAAGAGGATTCATGTGGAGCCCAATGTGGGGCTCAATCCCACAACCCCAAAACCACAACCCAAGCCAAAACCAAGAGTTGGACGCTCACCCGACCGTGCCACCCAGGTGCCCCTAGACAATTTTTATACACTGAAGTAAAATTCATGCATCCGTCACTGTCTTCAACATTCCTAATATGGCACACCATTTCTTAGGGCAGACTATCCAGTCATTTAAGAATAATTGTATACATTTTCAATATATCATACATACACATGTATAAAATTTAGAAGGAAACTATTGTTAACGTTGATACATTTTGTGGAAGGCTATCTGACGTTTTATAGAACCTTAATATTCTGCAGAACTCTAGCTTAAGCAAAGCACAAAAGTATGGAGATACATGGTAGAAGAATAGTAAATGAATAGTAGCTCCACATAACTAGAGTAAGGTACATAGGAGCTGATAGGGAATAGGGGCGGTGGGGGGATGTTTGTGGCAGATGAGGCAGTGGAGTTAGGCAAGGATAAGACTTTGATAGTTTTCAAATGCCACACTAAGGTACTTGAAGTCTATCCTACATGAACAATAGTCATGTCATAATAAGATTTGTATTCTTTAAAGTTAATAGTGATGGTAATATGAAGGACAGAGTGAATGAAAGGAACTGTTGGCAAGAAGATCAGGGGCTACAGCAGTAATAAAGGGGAGAAGTGAGTATGGCAGTGACAGTGAGAAGGGAAAGGAGAAAATACATTTGAGAACTCCTTTAGAGAGAATTATAGGGTTTAGTGATTGGAAATGGGAGATGAAATAAAAAGGGAAGCCAAAGACAACTCTACTTCTAACCTGAATGATTGGAGTGGAGGCTGATTCATTTGTCTGACAATGAAATTTAGGATCAGGTTTCAATTAAAGGTGATAGAGATAAGCTGTGTTTGAGGGGTCTACAAAGTGGTCTAGGTGCAGAGGTTCACAGAACAGAAACATAGAAGTGGGGCTCAGAACACCCTGTATAGACTATAGCTGAAGCAGTGAGACTAGATGAGATTACCCAAGAAAAGGACTGAAGATAGAATTTAAATGTTTAGGGGCGCCTGGGTGGCTCAGTTGGTTAAGGGACTGCCTTCGGCTCAGGTCATGATCCTGGAGTCCCGGGATCGAGTCCCGCATCGGGCTCCCTGCTCGGCAGGGAGTCTGCTGCTCCCTCTGACCCTCCTCCCTCTCATGCTCTCTGTCTCTCATTCTCTCTCTCTCAAATAAATAAATAAAATCTTAAAAAAAAAAAAAAGAATTTAAATGTTTAAAGGGCAGAAAAACTGGAAAAAATAAAAGAGATTGAGATAGATACGGGGGATGGGTGAAAAATCAAAAGAAAACAGTGTTATGGCAGCTGAAAGAGAAAAGGGAAAGTGGGCAAAAGTGTCAAACACTGGGCACCTGAGTGGCTCAGTTGGTTAAGCGACTGCCTTCAGCTCAGGTCATGATCCCGGAGTTCCAGGATCAAATCCCGCATCGGGCTCCCAACTCAGCAGGGAGTCTGCTTCTCCCTCTGACCCTCTCCCCTCTCATGCTCTCTCTCTCTCTCTCAAAGAAATAAATAAAATCTTTAAAAAAAAGTGTCAAACACTGCAGAGAAGTTACATAGTACAAAGGACAGAAGAGGTCAACGATAGGATATACCTGATGACTTTGGAGAGAATAGTATAGAATGGAGGTAATAAAAGACAGACTGCATTGCATTCTGAGGAGTGTGTGAAAGGGAAGGAGATTATGTAATCATAGTAAAACTCCAATTTTGCCTCAAACCCATGGATCATTGTGAAATAAATTATACTAGTCTTGAATTACTTGGGTAACTCTGCCTTGCCTATGGAGATCAAATTTAATGCAATTTTCAAAGCCCTGTTTCCTTTTGATTACCTATAAAGGTATCAGAGTTGAAGTCCTGAAAAATCTTCCCATCATATTTGTGGTAATGGCACGATGGCTGAATATATTAAAGAATACTAATCTTTTTCATCTTTTTCACCCAGGAAACCGTTTTTCCATCCCAAATCACTAATGAGCATGAGTCATTGATAATGGTGAAGAAACTTTTTGCTACTTCTATCTCATGTATAACATATCTAAGAGGCCTGTTTCCAGAGAGCTCTTATGGAGAACGCCATTTGGATGGTAAAGTTTAACTAAGTAGTTACCTTGGTTGTTGTAGCTCTTTCCTGTACTTGGCAGGGGTAAATCTTTCAATTCTCACAGTGTGCTAATTCCAAGTCATGGGATTGTTCTTCAAGATCAATTTGCTAATTCATTTCCCATTTTAATTTCAGTATGTTTAGTGGTTTTACTTATAGGAATCATTAGTTCCTGGCTAGATACCAAATGACAGACTGAGAAGAAAAGAAATCTCTATAGATAAGCCCAGTAATTCTAAACCATACCTATAAAAGCAACAGCCGATCAAAATCTATTTGGGTGTTGTAGATTTGCACTATTTTTTGCCTCAGTTGAGTTTGTTCTTTGAGGTATACTTTGGCATTGAGGCAATTTAATGGAGCCAGGTGAAAAACTCTTCTTCCTGTTAACACATATAAATATACTGGAAGAAAAGCATATTCATGCCAAACCCATTTGTTGATTAGCATGGATAGACAATTACTATTCTAATCAGCACTTTTCTTTTCTCAATTGCCAGGTCTCCTACTTTACTCCCTTTTATTTCTTGTGTCTTAAACTGATGATCTCATTTCCTTATATTACAAGCTGTTTCTGGCTCCTTTCCTTGTCTTGTATTGAAAGAAAATAAATGTACCTAGGACTCTTCAATTTTTTAAAATCTTATTATTAGCTTAAAAAGCTGGATTGTGATAACAATTCAGAAAATCTTGCTGATTTGTCACTAAAATGGGAACTATCATTTGGGAAAATAAATGTGGAGAGCTGTAAGTTTCCTTGTATGATCTTATTTTTCAAGATCTAACTTTACTTTAAATTCTTTGCATCTGTATTTAACGATATACCTTGGCCTCATTCCAATTGAATTTTCTTAACATTTCATCCTCTATACTAGCTAGCATCATTGAAATGCATGTGTGCTGTAAGTACAAAAGCATGACACTTGCAATCATGACAACTTCATTTGTATCATGTCTTCTTTTGGTCTATAGAATATAAATCTGTAATTGTGAATATGTTTATATGTAGCACATGGTGGCATTTCTCCTTGTTTGGAACAGAATTGGAAAAAACTGGAAAAAGGCATGTTTGGGGTGATTAATTAAGGGCTTATTGTGTGCCAATCACTGCCCTAGGCATGGGGGGCGGATGTTAAAAAACAAAATTCAACTGAGTACATTTGAGGATCTAATTGGTTTTATTCAATGATTGATGAATAGTGCAGCATCCAATCTAGCAAATAGGAGCTCTGAGGAGCAATACAAATTGTTAGACTGTTATAGGCAGAAACAGGGCAGGACAAGGAAGTCATTAGTGAAAGAAAAGAAAGGTTTATTTCAGGCAAGGTCACCTTCCTCGGGAGGAGGGGGGGTCCGCCATGCAGATTACCTCACAAGTGTTGATCAGGAAATTCCAGATTGACTGGTTAAAGGTTACATTCTTGCAATTAAGTCTTGGTTTGCTCCTCATGGGGGGCAAGTGACTCCATTTTAGGCTCACTTTTTCTCCCTTCTCTCCTTCTTTCCTTCCTTCCTTCCTTCCTCCCTCCCTCCCTCCTTCCCTCCCTCCCTCCCTCCCTTCCTTCCTTCCTTCCTTCCTTCCTTCCTTCCTTCCTTCCTTCCTTCCTTCCTTCCTTCCTTCCTTCTTACAGAGGTAATACTATTACTTATAGCTTTATTTTTTGTGGTAGTTTTAGTAGAAGTTGTATGTCTCCCTCTCAGTGTTCGTTCTTAAAGTAACATACATCATAAAAATGCTCAGTACCCCTATGTCACTCTCTTTTTGGTAATCTCTAAATATTATGCCAACATGGAATAATTTTCATGTACCTCAGTAGAGGTAGAGGGAACATCAGTTTTAGGATAGGAAAACAATATGAAAAGGTGAAGTGACATGCAAAGTCATACATGAATCAGTGATTGATTTTGGACTAATCTAAGCCAAAACTTTTTTTTTTTTTAAGATTTTATCCATTTATTTATTTGACAGAGAGATAGAATACAAGCAGGCAGAGTGACAGGCAGAGGGAGAGGGAGAAGCAGTCTCCCCGCCAAGCAGGGAACCCGACGCAGGGCTCCATCCCAGGACCCTGGGATCATGACCTGAGCTGAAGGCAGACACTTAACTGACTGAGCCACCCAGGCGCCCCTAAGCCAAAACTCTTTTAATATGATTTTCCTCTTCTCTAACTGTAGTAAGGTAGTTGAATTTCAGATGGAAATTAATATTTGAGAATAATCCATGGGAAAATTTTTCATCTTTATTTTCATTTAGGGGGAGACAAATATGAGAGAACTGACTTGAGATTGAGGTACATGTTTTAAATTGGTTAATGGATATGGTCTCAATAGTCCCTTATGATTACTCGGAATTCAACAGAAGCAAAGAAGTGACACAAATTGAATGTGCAATCAACTCAGTTGTGCTGCATTGTAGAAGGGAAGACTGCTAAACTATAATCAAAATTGGAACTAAACTAGTTTTCAACATAGGATTTATTTTTAGAGTAGATATTTAGAGATTCAAAATGTTTTTATAAGCTATAAAACTAAGTTATATAAATAAAATAGTTAAAGGAAATACCCTTATTTAGCATGGACAAATTTAGTACAGTAATCATTTAGTAAAGGAAAATACACTGTGTTTCTGTTTTTGTAGACCTCAGTTTAAAAATCCTTCGAGAAGATAAAAAATGTCCTGGGTCACTGCATATTATCAAATGGTAAGTAATTGAAATTCCACAAAAGTTGAACATTATTTTTATCATGGCTGAAATTACCCATAAGACTTTATTTGGTAAGATCATTTCCTTAAAACCTTTTCTTCCTTTCTTTTTTTCCTTCCTTCCTTCTTTCCTTTTTTTTCACAATTTCCTGGAAATTTACAGCAATATTCAATATAATTTTAATATCCTGATTTAATTTTGTTTTTGAAAAAAATGGACTTGTATAAAGAAAGAAAAATATTGTACGCCTGAAACAAATATAACACTGTATGTCAACTTCAATAACAAAAATTTTAAAAAGAGAAAAATATCAATCAAAATTTGATTACTCATCATATGCGTGTTAGTATTCTAAACATTATGGAAGGCAAAAAGAAAAATAAGATGTGGTTCTCTACCTTTAATTTGCTTACCTATTATAAAGATCTATCAACATATTAAATGACACTGTTTTAAAAAAGAGTTCAAATGGGAAAGGTAAAATGATTACCAATTTAATGTACTTAAAAGCAAAATATATAAATCAGTTCTGTATCTTGGAATTTTTTTGGCTTTCGCATCTGGTCCAAATTGACATCAAATATTTATTTCTTGACAGGATCCAAGGTTGTTTTGATGCTTTGGAAAAGAGATACGTAAGAATGTTTTTAAATTTATACCAGGATTAAAGACTTATCTTTTATACCTTAAAAAAAGTTTAGCTTTTATTTTGTTGTTGTGTATTAACAGTGCACTAGTGCCTACATTTGCATTTATGAAAGTTTCTTTTTATGTCTTTGTTGTCCTGTTGATGTCTTGTTTTCATCAATTAGAAAGGAAACCTTCATTTTTCTCTTTTACATACGCATATCTTTTTGACCACAGAATTTCCTCTGAAGTCACTGGAAGAGATCCAGAGGATGTGGGACAGGGGAGACAAGAATCTGGCATTTAGCACATTAAACATGTTCAAAATAGTTGTGATTCAATTCACAGATATGAAAGGAAAAAACGGACTTGAATAATTAGTTTTTATTCTATGATAGTTATTTTGTTAACTATGTTTGGTGCATGTATATAACCTGTTTCCTCAAATAGCTAGTATTGTACCTTGGATTTTTAAAAATGCAGCTTGAATTTTAAGTATATCAGATCTTTCTTGCTGCCCAAGACTGCTATGAAGGTATAAAAATTAGAGGCTCTAGTCCTAGTTGAAGAGACAAGATGTATATAAATGAACCTTCTACCACTGCTTCCCCTCCTTTTCCCCATCTATATCTTCTTCTAACTCCTTCTCAATTCCTATTCCTTTATAAAGAATTTTGAGGTGAATAGCCTTATAATAGATTATTTAGTTGCACTCATACATTTCCTTTTTCAGTGAACAGTTATTTTTTATGATTTATTCAACACTGACCTGGGGGACTGAGGGATACAAAATTAAAACAGATACGGGCTTGTGCACACAAAGATCTTCTAGAGCATGGCAGAAGAGAAATGATACTCATATGCGTGGCTGATGATTAGCTATTATACATTGGCCCAGCTGTGCCTATTGTTAAAATATTGAAATACTCTGTAATGGGTGGTAAATAGCTGTTTTGCTGAGACCCTGAGTGACCCCCACCATTATCTCCCCCTCACTTCACCATTGTCTCTTTTGGGATCTCTCCAGACCTATCCATAATCTAGCAACTAAAGGGTTAACATCTGGCCCACGGGGAGCTTCCAGGAACCCAGCTAAGACTAAATTGGCATCCTTTCTGATTCTGGGCTAAGTTGGCATCCATTCTGATTGGCCAGTACCTGTGTCCTATTAGGCTATTAAATATTGATTTTTTTTCACATCAGCTTGATATTTTTGTGTAAAAATATCAGATATAAGTACCCATAATACTCATTAGAAATTAATGCATGCTAAAGGAAAGATACTGCTTGTGTACAATAGGAATATGGAAAAAGAGGGGTTGTATATAGTAAGGAGCATGAAGGAAATCTTTTGGAGAAAATGGCTTTTGAACTTTGAAGGCCCTTAGTATTTGGACAGGTTTAAATGGAAAGGGTCATCACCAGCATACTGAACACTATTCATTCATTCTCCACCATCCGTTCATTTAGCAACATTTCTTGAGCATCCATCATTGAGAGGCAGTGCAATATAGTTAAGAACACAAGTTTTGTAATCAGTCTAAAGGGAATCCCAGTTCTGCACTTAACACCTATGTGATCTTGGGCAAGTACCTACCTTTTGGTACCTTAGTTTCTTTATATACAAAATGGGGGATAATAACAGAACCTCTTAGGGTTGTTTGAGATAATGAACTAATCTAAAGCACTGGTTTTCAAATGTTAGCTTGCATTGGAATCACCTGGAGGACTTGTTAAAGCATTGCCAGGCTCCATCCCAAAATTTCTGATGTGAGAATTTGCATTTCAGATAAATTTCAGGTTATGTTGACACTGCTGGTCTAGGGACCATACTTTTAGAACCACTGATCTAAAATGTTTAGAACAATGCCTGGCACATAATAAGCACTATGTGTTAACTCTTTTTCTCTTTCCTCCCTCATTCCCTCCCTCTTCTCCTTTCCTTTATCTCTCCTTCCTTCCTCCCTCTCTCTCTACCTTCTCTTTTTCTTTCCCTCCTTTCTTCTCTCCTTCCTTCATTTCCTCCCCTCCTCCCTTCCTTTCTTATCTATTTAATCTGTGCCAGACATTGTATCTAAATACTGGATGAGACAAAAATGAGAGAAAGATGTGATTCCTCCATTCAAGGAGGTCACACTCTAATAGCGTCACTTGTTAAATAATTACAATGTTACATGTACTAAAAGAGCAGTGTGATGTAAAAAGATTATCTACCTCATTTGATGGATTTATTTTACTTAAATGACTACCTGTATGACTGAATCGATTAAATTTACTGTTTTGGGAGATTAAAAGACAATACCTTAGATGGATGACTTAGACTCGTTGTTAGTATCTTAATTTCCTACTAGGAAATAATTAATGTGTTAAAAATAGTTTAAGTCAAGTTTGAGTATCTAGAGATCTTGAAAGATGTTCTTCTGTTGAAGATGATGATTATTTCTAGTTGTGAAATTTTGGGTGATTTTACCATTTTTTTGTAGTTCATATTCTCAAATTCTTTAAAGTAAGTATGTAGGTATTTTTAGATAATTATTATAAAGAAGAGACTATATTGTACATAGCCTCCTAATCTGTCTCCTTATTCCCATTTCAGTCCCCTACCATTCCAACTCACTATCCACACTACATTCTTTCAGAAATCTAAGTCTTTTTTTTTTAATATTTTATTTATTTATTTGAGAGAGAGAGAATGAGAGAGAGCATGAGAGGGGAGAGGGTCAGAGGGAGAAGCAGACTCCCTGCTGAGCAGGGAGCCCGATGCAGAACTCGATCCCAGGACCCTGGGATCATGACCTGAGCCAAAGGCAGTTGCTTAACCAACTGAGCCACCCAGGCGTCTCTCAGAAATCTAAGTCTTATCATATCAATCTCTTGCCTGAAAATCTTCCATGGCTTTTAAAATAAAATTTAGAGTCCTTCACAGAGAACCTGTATGATCTAGTCTCACCTGCCTTTCCAGAAGTCATCACTCTCACCATTGCTAACCATGTTCAAGCCACACAAGGATTCTAGAACATGCCAAGTGCCTTTTCCCTTTGTATGTATTGTTGCTTTTGCCTGCAAAATTCTCTTCCCTACCCATACCTTTTACCTGGCTAAATCCAATTTATCCTTTAGGTCTCACGCTAAATATTTACTTTCTTAGAGGGGTCTTCCTGGCACATACCCCCCCACCCCAGCCTAGACTGTCCTTTTGTTTAATGTTCTCAAGCACCCTGTGCTACATTGTCATAGCAGTTAACACAATTGTAATGATGTACCTGTTTGCTTTTTTGTTTAATGTTTTCTCTCCTGTTGGTCTGCATGTTCCCTGAGATCAGGGGCCATGTCTCTTTTTGAATGAATGAACTATTAATCAAATAATTAATAGAGAGTTTCACTATGTAGTCTCAAAATCAGTTGTATGCAGTAACCAAAATAGCCACACAGTGTCACTAAAGTTTTAGTCCTTTGGGTGCAATAGGTGAATAGTTTGATATGAAATTATGGTTGGGAAATTTTCTTTAAAAAAAAATTTTTTTTTTTTCAATTTTAACTAGGTTCTGTGACCATCGTGGGGCTTAAACTCACAACCCTGAGATTAAGAGTCACATGCTCTAACAACTGAGCCAGCCCTGGTCCAGAAATTTTCTAATTTGTATTCTAGTTTTTAAATTTTTATCAGAGACTAGATTATATCTCTATATATTGGCTTACTCTTTCAAGCAGAGAGAATCTGTGTATAGTAATATATATGTAGGTAGGGCAAGGGTTTTATAGACCTATCAGACTTTAAAATTTTTACTTTAGTAGATTAGTTTCAAAAGACAATTTTTTGGAGATACTGGTGGCATATTTAATATTTAGTAAAAATGAATTATTTTGTATATCTTTTGCCTCCCAAACTAAAATATAACTTTTAGATAGTATAGATAGTTATCATTTTTTTTTTTGCATCCCTCCTCTCCAGCAGAACCCTATATATGTAAATTTATACTCACTTGAATGAATGAGTGAATTAGTATCTCTTTTTCAGATCTTCTACCCAAATCTTTGGAATCTCTCTGAAATAATTTTAATTAGCCTTTATTGAAAATAACAATAATATCAGCACAAGTATATAATAACAATAGTTTTCTTTTCTCTTGAAGCTACACATGGCAGTACTTACAGTAAGTACACACTTAAAGACCAAACCCATGTTTCTACTATGTTGTTTTTTTGGCAAGTAAAACATTAAAACAGTACTATCTCCACTTCTTCCTGAGTTTCTTTATCTGTCCTATGACATTTTGGAATTAAAAAAATAGAATCTACCAGAAGTTTTAATGAAAGATCACAAATTATGTATTTCTTAGGTATATTACAATACATGGGAAAGTATATAGG